GCTTTTATGACCGTCCTAAGAGACATGTAAAAATCATAACATGCAATTTTGGATGATCAAGCCACTTCATGAGGTGAGTCACTGCTATAGTAGAGGAGATAAATTGGCTGTAGCATGAAGACTTGGAAGAAAAGAGGAGTAGTGTCGCGTGCGAAGAAAGTTCAACGCCGATTTTTGCTGCTCTCCGTGTTCAATTCACGATTGTACCGACCACACGCAATGACTTGATGGGTCTCAAACTACCTCAGCCAACATATCACCTTGCGCTACAGGCCAGTGTGAAGGGGGCCTCCCAGTAGGCTGAGAAGCGATCTGCAGGAACCTCGCCGCAGACGGATAGAGGGTGTTTGAATTTGCCCAACGGCCAATAGGCAGGGAACAAGAAGCGGGCAGTACAATTTGCCCCACCATGCGGGACCATCATCGCGGAGAGTTCTTTTGCAGCCGCGCGTCTTGGTCTCAGCTCGTGCCTACTGCCTCGTGCGACCGGAGATATGGTATATAAACTGCCAAAGCAAATCGATCTTGGAAGGTGCGACCAACGACCGAGACGGAACTCCATGTTCTTTCTCATACCCTGCAACAAAGAAGGTTGTCAATACATCGGACTGCTTCGACCGCCGCATGGGGCATGCTCTTACCGGAGTGATCCCGCGGAACTTGACGAACCCAATGCGTCTCAAACCCGCGACGGTGCGCACATTTAGTTGGGGACTGGACGGTCAATATCGGACCCTGAGTCGACCGTGCGGTCTGACTGTGGTTCTGCGGACGGGCGACGCATGTAGAGGTCGGTGGCCTCATCATCCGCATCCTTAGAGGGCTTGGGTCGTCTGAACAATGCTCGGAAGGGGTGGGGGTGCTGATCGAGATAGGACTAGACCGAGTTTTGCGTCGGCCACGGCCCTGTCTCCTGGGGGTCCGACGCCTGAGCCGCGATAGCTTCTTGCACATCGGGCGGCGGTGCCGTCGTATGTCTTTCTCCAGAAGCCGGTATTTGGTCCGCAGAGATTCTTTCGTTCTGGGTTTGCGCTCGATCGAATATTTCCGAGCCCTCTCCGGCCAGGTTAGATGGAGATGGCGCGCTACCCATGATGGATAGTCCTGTTCCTCGCCGGGAGTCCAGGCCCGGTAGTGTCTCTTGGCCATGCGGAGCGAAAGTGAAATCGCAAAACGTGGCGTAAGTGGGAGAGCTGCGCATGCAGAGACCGGCATAAAAGGCAAGATCCAGATACAGTACGTGTATTGCCTGCCATGCGGAAGACATCCAGGATTGCGGGGCCACAAGTAAGAGGAGGGGAGACCAGGAAACACTTAAATGTGGAGGATTCGTTGCCCTGGGGTTGTTCCCTGGTAAATTCCATCGCAGTGATGCAACAATCCCCCGTAACTTAACCACGTCGCTCACCGGTCAACATGCCCCGTTGCCCAGGGTTGTCCGAGGTCCACAGGTCAATGCTACTTTGTGCGATAGTGTCAATGAGGGAAGGGAGCCTTTAACCACGGGCCAGGTGGGTCAGTTTCAGAGACCACAGACTAAACGAACTCTGGTATAGATCAGAGCCAATAAGGTTAACTTAGACATTTGACCGTTCTGGGCGAGCAAATACTCCACGGCGCTTGGATCCGCAGCAAAGCAGGTTGTCGCAGACCTCAACCATTACTGTGTCTCACTTGGTCAACCATAGTGACACCGGGTCATGTGGCCAAAATAACCAGAGGGCGGTTATCCCTAACTTTCTTTGCTAATCGCGTTGCTTAGGACCTACCTGCCATTGCCAAAGGCGCTCACTCCCTCTTGTCAGACTTGCTCGCAGGTACTGTATTTAATTTTCTCCAGCTAATTCTTCCTTCAGCACGGTACATGCGCAGTGGTTCTTCTACGAGTTTTGTTGCCATCGGGAAATGCCAAAGTCAGAACCGCGGGCGGGCATCCGCGCAAGCACCCGGAAGACCGACAGTCGCAGTACCGCTTCTGACCCACGATCTATCCAAAGTCCGGAGCCCGTAATGCGTTCTTCCCAGCAGCCTCTGCGATCCCATCGACACCCATCCACGGTAAGCCTTCACGTACGGTTACTGGGCCCGGATCGTTCCGCTGACTCCACACACCCACCAGCTGCCACAGGTATCTGGTTCTGGTTCTCGAGACCCTCCTTCTGCCCCATCGCCAGAGAATCACGAGGCATGTTTGGCTACCGTCGAAACCCTGGAGCGGGAGATTGAAGCGTTGCAGAAAGACAAAGAGACCCTGTCGGAGCGCCTTGGAAGCGTCGAAAGTAAGAACCAGGAATTGTTGAACGAACAGCATCGGTGGAGACAACAGCTGTCTGAACGGCGCGCGACTCAACAGCTGGTGCACGAAATCCAGCATACCGTTGCAGGTTGGCACCAGCGGCTTCGCAGCCCGGCTGATTTACCAGGAAAGGAGGATCCTGCCGCCATGACGGCTGCTCTGCCGGCAATGACGACGATGCCAGATATATGGACAACTCAAGGGGACGGAGGGGGTGTATGTGACAACGATCATGACATTGCACCCGGCTCCGGTGACTTTACGCAGCTTCTTCAATTCTAGTTTCTCTACCGTAGTAATTGATATTCTTTCTGGGGCGAATGCGCGCACATATACCGATCAATTATGACGGTGCCAATCGTGTCAAGTAGTGCGCATCGACGCCCGCTGGAAGCGGCTTGGGAGCGCCTGAAATAGAAAAATTGCATCCTGGGTCTTCAGATGGACCGGGTGATGCTAAAGTGGGTAAACCTTCATGTGTATAGCGGGCAGGCCTGTTCCACGGACAAGAAATTCCGCTCGGCAGCAGCACTCGACACCCAATTGACGTTCCTGTCTGCCTACCAGCAAACGGAGCATGAGCAAGGTTTCACACGGTCGGGCCCAGGGCAAAAAAAGTCGTGATTTAACCGACGAACGGCTAATGTCCCAGCCCGAAATATGAGGGTCCCGGGAGGTGTCAGTGAAGGAAGACTCACGCTAGTCCGTCTTCTGAGTATATCTGCACGCATACCCCCAATCCAAACCTCACACATTCCCCGGAGTACATATAATTGTGCTGGATCGGGATCGGTACTCCCACACTTTCGTCTGCACAAGCGGCCAGTTTTACTCTAAATCCAATCTCCAACGGAGCCATGCCGCTGTCTGCAATATGGACGAGAAGAGCAGCCAACGATGCAGCATCGAGCATCTACAGTCGAGAAGCTGAAGTCGCCCCAGTTCCCCCGCTATCCATCCTGCGCAAGGGGAGAAGACCAACCGACTCTCCTGCAAGGCATGATCCCGGAAATCAACCTGATCGACCATCAAATTGCGCTGGCCCGGGGAACAACCATGGCCCTGGAGACGACCCGTGTGCGGCTTCGGAATGCCAAAAAGAACGGTCCACGTTCGTTGCGAGACACCTTGGAAGAGAAGTGGCGACAATGGAAGCGCCAGGAAGATGAGAACCGGTTCTTCCGCACATGCCTCAGAATCTTCGACGACCTCGCGGCCGTGGCAGTCGAGGTTTCCGATGATCTGATCCTGCAGCATGAATTTGAACCCGAAGTCAGTCCAGTGGGAAACCGACGCATCCTCCTAGGCATGCACAAGCTACAAGAGGCCCTGGCCGACTCTCACGATAAGGAAGCTCGAGCCAGAGAAGAATGGGACCGTCGCCTGAACCTTCCCGATATCCGTGCCCCACTACCGCAGTGGATATGATGCCATGTCGGATCTACGAGTTCCTGTGGGCAGGCGCTCTACGTGACTCTTTGCGTTCGTTTTCCCATCGTGCCTCGACAAAAGGATGGACCTTCGCTGGAATGTGCTTTGTAGGTATGCTCTCATCTGCTCACTGTGCAAGCCAGCGGAACTGCGCAAGTCTACAAAATTTGCCCAGGGGATTCGGTCCATTGTGTAAATCTCAAGTTACTGTACTCCTCATTACACAGTTATTAGAGACATGTGGCCTGTCTAGCCTATTAGGAATTGCACAGACACAATGCAACAGCCGACACTCCCGTATCCCCCAAATTAAAATTGCATAGATTATACCAACCCAATGAATGAAAGCGCATCACCGTCGTAGCAGCTAGCACTGATGACCGTGTTCTTCGGATAAAACTCAACTCTCTTACTTAGACATGTGCTCGGTTAGCACAGGCTCCAAAGGAACCGTGCGGGGGCTGTTAGGAGGCGTCTTCGGGTAGAAGCCGGCAAGTAGACCCTCGGAGCCTGTGTCCAGTTGTTAGATAATGGTTCCTTTTTGCATATGTGTTCTGTGTGCATACCCATATATCCGCACGCGACCTGGGCCTCTGACGTAAACTAACGTTCACGGGCCTTAAGTTCGCCATTGGTGGCATAAGACATGGCCATAGGTTCATACATGACTTGGAGAGTGCTTGCCAGTTGATGTGAATCAAAACAGGCCAGCTTTGATACCCGGCCGATTACACGGTTCTTCGGCCACGCCGCCTAACGGACTGTCGCATGTTGCACAGATGTGAGCCATTCTGGAACGTGATGGGGAAGAAGGCCACGAGGTGTTATCGATTGGCCGTAGATTATGTCGACCGATGATGCGACGACTGTCATAAAGAAACAATGGCGGCAATGCGTAGAGTAAGGGCGGGATGGCGAGTGAACGAGCAGAGCTCAGACAGCCCTGTAATCCTTTCTCGCGCGCGCCATTACACTGCATGAGTTTGCCCGCGGTTTATCGTTTATCACTGCCGTTTTAGGGTTTTACCAAACGCTACATTGAATTGCCCCAAACAAATAATATCAGATTCCAGCCGAGCGCTGTTTGCGAATGATATACTGCTATCTTCCATATCCCTCGGAGTCTTGACGGATCCAAATTGTCTAGACCTATGCCATGTATTAACAGTCAGTCGCATTCCCCTGAGAACAGCGGCGCCGGGGGTTCAGCCGATTCAAAAACCACGGGCAGACCACCAAGAGAAATCAGGACTTTTACCAATTGTGGTTTCCGCACGGTGAAACGAACAAGTTGCCCACCTTGTCCGAAACGTTAACTACCCACCATCTACACTCGTCGGCCCAAA